TTAATATTCCTAAACAGCAATTGCTTGTGTATCCTTTGTATCCCATAATGCCCCATCTACAGGGTATACCGTAAAGGACAATCTTATGTGTGTGTATATCGGTTTGAGTCGCCAGTCGACCGTTTTGCCTGTCCTTTTTCCTCACTCTCTCCTTTACCAGTTTTCCCTTTTTATTAAATTGAATTTTGGACATGGGACAGGGACCAGGAGCAGGACCCGGGACCCGGACATAGAGCCCAAGAATTCAAAATGAGGACGAGGCCGAAACCGGAGGCCGGCCGGCGATATGTTTATGATGCCACTTGTCTCTCACTCTCTCTTTTCTCTCTCCCTCTCTTCTCTCTCTCTCTCTCTGGCTCTGTGAAATACAATTTTGTACGAGAATTTCTTGCATTTGCCGCTATCATATTTCAACGCGTGCCACTTGACAATTTCGTTGCTTCTAAATTTACTCAGACATATTTCCCTGACATTGGGACCATCGACTTATTGGAAGGGACCAACGGCGAACCCCAACACCAACACGTGCACAATCTGCACGTCCCTCCATCGGGGTCCTTTCCCCCATTTTCTTCTTCCTGCTCTGAAATCGAATTAAAAACTCATCTTTGCTCAATTTGTGGATGGTTCCTTCCCCCATTTCCCCACATATACGAGTACGACGGGATATCCAGTTTGGCGATGATTTAGGCAGTAGGGCCTTTGCCTTTTCCATTTCCATTTCCATCGCCTGCTGTGCCCGTCAATGTTGTTTCTCTTTTTATTGTTTTACTAGCAGAAAATCTGTTTTATTCGTACGTTTTATTGTTGCTACGAGTAATTTAATGTGCATTGCATTTAAGCTAATATTTGAGTTGTTCCCTGCTGTTGCTACTGCTGTCGCTACTGGCTCTCTCTCGGTTTTAATGCTCCCTTTTTACGACCCTTTTATGGCCTTTTTATTTGCTGGCCAAGCGCTGACCTGGCCCGAGGCCACTCCTCTGCCCCCCCGCCTCGACGTCGGAAGGGGTGCCAATTGTTGTGTTGCCAACTTTACTTAACTAATTTCCAGCAATTACAGACAGAATGAAAGCAGGAGAGCAGCATGGGGAACGCAGAGAGTGGCTGCTCCCCTTATTAATTATAACTTTTCCCTCGGCCAATTGCTCTATTTATGAGGACTGCAAACACTCCTCTGAAGGCCACCGATATCAGTCATCATAAAAGGCGCAGCCTCCCAACCTCCGTCCTCTGAACCCTTTAAGGACACATTAGACACACTTGGTTGAGTGCTTTCGGGATTCTTTATGTTCGACAGCTCATTGGCTTTCTTAATCTTGGACCAGTTAGCCAGCCAGCCACCACTGCTCGAAAGGGGTCCGTCCGCCTTTACATCAAAGCGGAAAAACGAGCAACATCTGGAATGCAAACAAAGATAATCCTCCTTTCAATTTATTTACCTTTCGCTGACCAAAGCAATTTACGATTTTAATCAAAACGACTAGTCCGTCCGTCCGACTAGCAGTCCGTGCTGCCATCAAAGAAAATAGTTGAGTTCCTGTCACAGGGCTGGCGGTCAAAGGCGATGCGATGCGATGCGATGCGATCCGAGAAAAGGACAGACAACTAATGTCCAGAGTCTAACCTAATTTGACGCTGACGAGAGCGAGTTGGAAGGCCTGTCAGAGTGTATGGGCTGACGGACTGACAGACTGACGTACATGCCAGTCTGTGCATAATGCTTATTACCGCAATCATTTACGGCACTCGGCCCGAAACGAATGGGTGCAGGAGTGTGTGTGTTTCCCTGGGCTTTGGACTCGTTCCTGACTCTTGGCCCTGCCACTGCCACTGGTTGCTCTTTCACTCCATGAAGAATGCAATTTGCAATCTCCAGGCAGACACTAGGCACTCGACAGTCGGCAGTCGCATATTAGTGAAAGTGTTGCTGAACAGTGAACGGAATAAACAAGTGCCCGATGCCCATCCCATTCCATCCCATTCCATGGCATGCCATTCCAGTGCATCTCAAATGGTAAACAGCATACAGCCAGCCTCTACACTGAGGAAATGAAAATGTGGCTTGTTTAAGGAAGAACCACGTCAGATTTCCCATCTTCATTAGCTAATTGGATTTTCTTTGACTGACATTCACGGCAAGGCGCGGAAAGGATTAATTGGGATGCACTCAAAGGCACTCTTTCCCAGCATTCACCTCTCAACCTCAACCGTTATTTGTATAATTAAAGCACAAGATTACAGTCATTACCTCATCTATAAGCTCAAGCTAAATCTTCAAGAAGATCTTTTTCCTCCACTTCCGACTTGATGACTATTCACTCAATAGACCTTTGAGTATCCCGAGTATGCACTTTACGATTGGTATGCACGCTGCTGAAGTCTCTTCAGATTACATTTTCGTATGAGCCATGTGAGGGACCTCAAGCAGCACTTTTTCGACTATGTATTTATGTGGGAGATGCTCGTCTAAGCGTTAACAAGTTAATATTCTTCTACCTTCTCTTCCAGTGTACCTTCGTTGGAGTGTGCAACAGTTTCTGCTGTTTAATGGCGATGTTTAATGGAAGCTCCTACTCTCTCCAGCGCTCTCATGTGTGGATGGGCTTCTATCTCAGTGTGTGTGTGTGTGTGCCTCTGTGTGGCAGTGCCATGTTAGCTATTATGAATTGTGCAATTGTCGTCAACGCCAGCCAACGCGCTGTGCTGCTCCCTACTTCTACTCTGAAGCTCAATGTCAGTCACTCCACCTCTCCGCCCCCCCCTTTCGCTGCCACTATCCACCCGTTCTCTTGCCATTTCTCTTTCTCTGACGACACTTCTAGTGCTTGGGTTTCATTCCGATTGCCTGCCTCATCAGTCGGAGCTCCGGACTCTTTGTTTGCACCGGCGACGCGACGTATGACTGTCTTGTCTGTCTGTGTTTCGGCTTCGTTTGCCAGCTTTTGCCGCCATTTTTCAACAGACACGCGCTTGACTGTTGTTGTTTCTGTTACTCTTTTTGTATACCCTTTATCTGTACAGCTAGAGAATATATGTATCATGCCATCGGATGCCTAAGCTTAAAGGAGAAAACTTCACAATAAAAGTTTCTAGTAAGAACTAAACCAAAAAAATTCAGTTCATTCACTAAGCAAATTCGAAAAGCAGGTATCGCTAGGGTCTGTATACTTCGTCCATGTTTTGTTGGTACTATACCTCCTCCTCCTCCTTTCGTCTGGCACTCCTAGTAAATGGCTCTTCAACGTTTATCGCATTTTTCTGGCTGCACTTTAGAGTGCCAAATATTTTTACATTTGTGAACTGCCATTGTTGTTGTTGCTATTCTCCATTTTCTCCCTGTCAGGGCTGCCACCCCCTCTCAGACAAATGACGCATGTTCTGTTATTTCCTTGATAAGTCTCCTAGAAATCGCTGTCAAGCCGTTCTGCTTGCCCATTTATGACACTGGAAGCTCTCCAATTAAGCCACCAAGTGGCTGCAATCACTCAGGTAGAGAGTAGAAGAGCAATTAATCAAGCCGGCAAGTATTTAATTAATTGTGGAAAATGGCTTCGCTACGTTCTCTCTGCCATCAAATCTTTTTCAAAGTAGAGAGCTACTGCTGTATCGCTATAACACATTATGCGCTTTTCCCGGTCGCATCAAAGTCATCAAATGAGTGCGACAGCAATCCCATTGGATTGGCGGCACATATGCATGCATGCATATAGATATTTGAATCACTGTATTGCCTGGCAGCTAGTTTTGCATACATCATCAGTGGCAACAGCAGGATGAGTAGCAGTAGCGGCAGCGGCAGCAATTGACTGACAGTTGCAACATCATCTGAATCATCCACAGCATCAACTCAAAGACTTACATGACAGCAGTTGCATGCCACACATCTGATTTCATCTGATGAGTAGGGAGCTCCTCCCGACTGTCTGTCTGTCCTGTCTATCCTTTTGATTGCCATCTCGCAATATGGAAATCTTTTATGCTTATGAATATGCACGTTGCACATCGCGAATAGAATTCCCTGTTTGTCACTCTCCGGCATTGATTGAAGTGTGAGTCCTCAATACGTACACATACATACATACATATATGTATACGTACGAGTATGTATGTGCACATATCCATTTTCATTATCCAAGTATACCGAGTGGTACTTATAAGCAGCTTTTGCTTGCTTTGATGATTGTCAAAAAGCAATTTATCGATTTCTAGCTGCGCAAAAGAAAGGCAGCCCCGAAGCCCAAAAGCATTTCTCACATGAAATTGTGAATGCTGTCGACAGTCGGCTCTTAAGCATTTAAGCCATTAACACGCAAAGGTCGCCAAATATTATATTGATTATAGCCGCTGGCCAGACGGTCTCCACTCCACTCCTCCTTCCACGACGTCCCTCCCCACGCAATGAGAACCGATAATAAGTAACAATAACAAACAATCGGCACAAAGAACGATAGAACCCAGTGTTGAATAGGGGATGGGGATGGGGACGGGGATGGGGATGAGAATGGGCTTGGTATTGGAAATGTAAGTGGAAATGGGGTTGGTATGGCACGGCACTGGGCTTGGCTGTATACTCAAACTGTTTTTGTTTAGTCTTTAAGCATTGAACAATAGAAGAGAGAGCTCGGGGGCATCCAAAAACATTCAAGTTGATTAAAGTTGTCTTTAGCTTCAATCAGATTGAATGGACACTCAAATCAGTTTAAATTTAAGCCTGCTTATACCCTAATCAGTTTAACTTGAAATTTATACACTTTTTAAACAGTATTCATTTGATCAATATTAAGAGAATAATACAATTATTCGAGGACTGTACCTCTGGCACACTTTCAGTAAGTATGTATATCCTCCATTCCACAATTCTTTCTTTAATACAATATCCAAGACTCTTCTATGACCCTGTTATATTTATAAGAGAAAACCACTCATATTTTAGGCCATTTTTTCCCAGATTTTGATTACAAATAAAATGAAATCATACACATTCAATTTATTTGCCAAAACTCAATCTGCATGTATACTTTTTCACAATTTTTCCACTTATTCCCCATAGCATTTTACAGTCATCACGGTACCAAATACAAAATTGATTCTTCCATCCTTTTTCTGCCTTGTTTCGAGGGTTTCGTGTAGGTCCTGGGGGGGCAGAGGGGGAAGGCATACCACATAAATATTTAACCGTTTAGTCAATCAATGGGTCAAGAATGCACTCGACGCCTGTCAAATAAATACCCGTACCATTCCTTGCGGGGCATGTATTTGTTGCAGATCAAGGCATTCACCAAATGCAGAATCCCGGCCAGAAGGCCGAATCCTCCGGCCAAAAAGAACATGTACTGGTACTCGTTGCCACAGTGAAAAATCATGGCCACGAGCATGGTCAGGCTGCTGCCGATGCACACCATGCCGCTGGCCAGATTAAACGTCATCGCCTGTAAAACAGGCCATTCAGTAGGTGTCCATGGAGCACGAGGCCAGGGTGGCCTCCTAGATATACGCACAATTGGATCGAGCCCTACGGTAAAGCAGCACAAACGACACAGGACAAAGACCACAGACTGAACAGTGATGACTGGCAGAGAGTAGACGGAGAAAATCACGGACAGATAGTACTCGCCGCCTAGGATACATTGCGAATACAACAGCATTATTAAGTAGACCAGTGCTACAATCTCCACAGTCTGTAAAAGAAAGAAACATGGCAGAAGGGAAAGGCATTTCAAGGATAATCTGTGTGTCTGTATCGAGTCCCCCCATCAGAGTTACCACTGTAAAGAGCTGCATCACCAGGTTGACCAAACGAATGGTACACTTAAACATATTTACAAAAAATTTGCACAACTCCTTGACACTAAAAACAAAAAAATGTTTCGTCTGGAAATGAAAATGAGAAAATGGGGTAAAAGGGTCCACTTGGTAGTAACATTTTATTGCTCTCTGTGCGAAGGGTTTTTCTTTTATTTTTCCTCGTTTTGTTATGTTTTGGTTCCCCTAATCTAATTGGCCTCGATAGCGATAGAAGTCGTTGCCCTTCGGTTGCTGCTTTTGTTTGGACTAATTTCATTACTGTCGGAATGTGGCGATGATTTCATGCAATTTAAAGCCACATTTTTCAGTGGCAAAGCATTTAGCATACTCGTAATTGTCGCTCTGTGTACCTGACCGGGCGAACGGGCCCCTTTTGGAGTACCCTAGTTGTACCACTAGGATCCCAGAGCTGTAGCAAGACTCCGGTGCCCATGCCCCACCCCAGGCTTTTATGATAATTGCCTGTTGACACGGGATGGCCAGGAGACGCAAGCTAGAACAAGCCACAGAAATGGGTTGGGGTTCGGGTTTGGGTTTGGGTTGGGAAAAGGTTTGAAAATGGGGATACGCTGCTGATAAATGAAAATTTTCAAAATGTGAATCAACAAAATAGAAGGATTGTAAATATAATTTCATTTGTTTCAAAGGATACTTTTCTGCTGTTTTTTCCTGTTTCGTTACCCCTCGGTGTTTAAATATTTCATTCTGTATTCTTAACTCTTCAACTTTTTATAGGTTTCATGGTTATCTGTTTATATTATTAATAGTTTTTCCTCTTTAAAAAAAAACATATTCTTAGTGGGTTCTTTATCTCAACAACTACCTTTTTCCACATTGACTTCCACTCAATCACAACAGTCTGATAATTGGGATGGGTTCCTCACAGAGGAGGTATATCCTCCCTAAAGCCATAAATATTGCACTTCAATACTTAACCAAACACAGCGACTTTTCGTGTTTTGTTGGGAAAAGACAAAAAACTTTTCGACTTGCGAGTAATCCAGGGATGTGAAGTGAAGTGCAGTCCCCAGAGAGAGCTCCCCCAAAGATGGAGAGAAAGAAAGAGAAGTGTACCCAAATAAACAACAGCGGAAATGTAGGCTATGATTTGCTTACTTGCCACCAAGAGCATGGGGAGGCGTGTGGCTCTGTGGCATGGGACTTGAACCAATGACATGGATGGTGGTGTGGCAGAGGCAGCAACAGAAACAGAACCTGAAACAGAACCAGAGAAACATAAATCAAATGCATGTAAAATTTTGTACTTTCCGCACACATATCCTGGATCCTGGATGCAAGTGCATTGGGGCTGGCACAAAGGAGCGGCACCGAACGGGACAGGAAAGCAGAGAGCAAGCCCAGGAACCCCAGGAACAGGACGACAGGAAAGCCAAGGAGAGGGAAGGACGACGACGAGTACAAGGGGCAGTAAGTGTGAGTAAGAGTGCGTTGTGCTTTGTGCACATCCGTTAACTTTGTCATTTTTGCTCATTTCCTTCCGCTATGGACAAGAAAACTGCAGCACCAGCAAAAGCAGGGAAAACGGCAGGAAGAGCAGCATCAGTGGCAGGAACGAAATGATTCCCAGCAGTGCTCCACTGAGCCACTGAGCCACTGACAAGCCGTAAGAAAAGCAAACACTGCACCACACCACACAACACAACACAAGAACGATGCAACGCCACACACAAGGCCCAAGGAAACAAAAGCCATGCGGAAAGCGGCAATAAGTTGGGGGCATAACTTTTAGTGGCATCAACAGAAAGAGAGAGAGAGTGGGTGTGGGTGTGGGTACGGGTACGGCACGAAGAACATTTTGCATGAAATTAGAGCCATAAGACACAACCCACCGAACCGAATGCCGAAGGAGCAAAAAGTCTTGAGGTCTATAACTTGCTTCTAGGAATTTAATTATTTTCCAGTTGCTGCGCTCTCGAGTTGCTGTTGCTGTTGCTGTTGCTGTTACTGCTTGCAACTTGGACACGGGGGTCTTATTTTTTGCACATTACAAGATACCCCGCCTAACATCCCACTTCTCCGCCCCCCCAACGCCACCCGCCCGGGAGAATCGTGTGCCAAAAATAGGAAAACTTTTGCTGCAATTTTCATTCGCATTTATTGTGTTGACATGCTGCCACACTGCGTATACGTATATCCTTGATGCAACCAAACAATTTATTTATTTAAGTTGTGCTGCAAGTAGTGGAGGCAGAAGTGGAACGGGTAACAGGGAGCGGGGAACGGGGGCAACGTGGTGTGGCACGGGGTCTGAGAATGTAGCCAAAGAAAACTTTTCCCCTTATGTTTGTGTTTGAAAGCTGCAAAATATTTGTACACTTTTCCGTTGTTTTGTCGTTGTTTGTAGCTCCATGTCCCCCCCTGGGTCCACACTGTGTCCGCCGTATCCGATTAGAGCTGAACAGAAGGCAGAATCGGATAGAAGTTAACCCCCATTCCACCTTGAGCATTACTCTATATCCCATATCCCATATCCCAGGCAAATGCATGCATTCAAAGTCAAAGCCACATTAATTAGCATGCTAAGCTGACTTTTATCAAAAAACCAATTAAATCTACAAAAGCCTCATGCACACTCACAAAAAGTAAACTTGATAATTAAATACATGTGTGGGAGTGAGTGCCTTTGAGTTCAAAGTTGAATGCCAGCCAAAAACTCCTGGAATATGCATAATTTTTTATATTACTCAAAGGATACCCTGAGGAGAGGGTGCTTTGACTTTGAGACGAGTCGAGCCGTCTCGCCTTAGCGTTTTCTTAGTTTCAACTTTCCCCAAAGTCTACTTTCGATTGGACATGGATTTGGACATGGATTGGTCGTTAGCCAAGTGCTTAACACAAAATATTCCAGTCTTTTTTTAGTTTACCATCATTCTTTTTAACTTTTCCAAATTAGCTTACAATTATTTATAGACAATCCGATGGGTGGCTACAAAATTGCAGGGTATCCAAAACTTCGACACAGAAGCTCTCATCTCTCTCTCTCCCACTTTTTTCATATCATACGCGACACAACATATTAAAAAGTAGGAAACATAAGGAAATGGGAACGGCATAAAAATTACAAATAACGTTATTAACGTTAAATTAAACTTTGGAAATTTGTGTTTATCCAAAGCCCCAGGACCGAGAACAAGACGGACATGGAGGGAAAGGACTACAGCGAGTGGAGTGGAGAGAGTGGAGTGTGTATAACTTTTGCGAGTACATAAAATAAAAGTACATTAAAAGTGGAAGGCGGAAGCGAGAGAGAGCCAAAGCTTGTTTATGTTTACCATAATTTGCGGCTCAACCTCAGTCTCAGCCTCTGTCTCTAAATATAATCAAAGCCTTCAAATAGAGTCACAAGAGGGGGAGAGGACTGAGGTAATATCCATTCCCTTGTGGGATCGGGGCTTAGTGGGGGATCTTTACCTACTCAACTTTTGTGTGAATGCAATGTTTTTCTCTTTCTCTCTATCTGATTTTTCTAGTTTTCTTTTTGCACTCCCTCCCGCACTCTCTGCTCCATTTTGCTGTGTTCGTATTTGTCAAGCTGCAAGCGTATGCCTGACACGTAGTAAATTAAATGTGAAACTCTGTAGCAGAGTGTAGCTAACTGTGAGTTTAGTTTGAGTGTAAGTGTATGTGTTTGAGTGGCTACAAAGAATGCTCTTCATGCTCTTCAGGCACCGTGTACTCCATTGCCTTCTACCCCTTGGTAGCCCACTTTAAGGGCTATAAATCATCAAAGTTCAACGTTTGCCATTTTGTCGACAATGTAAGAGAGTGGGAGAAAGTAAGAGAGAATAGAGAGTGTGGTGTGTGTGTGTTGTATGAGTGTTTGTACCCAAATGTGTTTGCTTTGCAATTTCCTTTTATTTATTTAAAGTTCTTAAGTAAACATTGCGCTTCGCCCACTCACTGCCACCCCCTCTCGCTCTCTGCTAATATTAAGTTTTCTGCCAAAAAGTTTTCACAAGTAATCTTTTAATTAAGTGCCAACTCTCCGCTCAGACTCTCTCTCTTCAGACATGCAGATACATACAGATAGAACAGACCGAGGGAATTATGAGAGCAACAGGAAGATCCACAAAGGCAGACAAAGAGAGACAGAAAGACAGAAAGAGATGATGTTAAATGGTCGCAGAGAGCGAATGGTGGAATCCAATTTGATTAATGGACAAAATGCCAGGCTCAATTAGAGCGACCAGCACAAGAAAGAGTACGAGTATTAACCGTTAGCTTAAGTTCAAAAAGGGGAAAAGAGAGGCAGAAGAAGAGAGCCCTCCAAATAAACAGCAAGAAAACAACAACTAATTGCACCACAAACGACAAACGGGAACATTACCAATGAAAGGGGGAGAAACATCAGCGACAAAAGAAGGAGAAAGAACGCAATAGCGACAAAGAGCGACCAAAAGCAACAACAAAAACCATAGAAAACAGCAAATAGCAAACAACGGAAAAAGTAAAGAGCATGAGAAAGAGAGCTGCAAATATTTCGCAACTAATAAAAACATTGCGGCGTACTAAATCAAGTGGAAAACTGTAAAAAAATATAAAAAACATACACAAACCCATTGGAAGGTGAGCAAGGGAGGACGGGAGAGGAAGTGGGGGAGGGGGAGGGAGCCCAACAAGAAACGCTCGTGAAAAAATGTACCACAGGAAGAAAATAAATGTGAAATATGGTTAATAGTTACCCCGAGGTGCCACAGAAATAATAGCAGCTGACATTTGACATTAGTTTTCCAGTGCGAAAAGCAAGGTGAAGAAAATGTTTGCAGTTTTCCTTTTGCGCTTAATTAAAGAGATTGTCGGGAATTATAAATTGCGCCACTAAAACAACACTAACGACGCTCTGGATCCGATCCGTCTTCAGCTGCACTTTTGAATTGATTAACGACCTACTCGTGGGGAGGAGCGGGGCTTAAGAGTTCCGATGTACATAAAGTATGTAGTAAGAAAGGGTGAGGTATTCTTACGAGTGGTGTAGTGACCTTTTATAAATATACCTTGCATAAACTGTTCATTCATTGCCTCTCTCTCTCTCTCTCTCTCACTCAGATCTGAAGATGCAGTTATCCAAATGACGCAATGCCTCTTAGCGATGCGCATGGGCTTTTTTTCTACATTTGTTTTGAAAGTTCGCTGCACGAAAAAGGGCGGAAGTACCTTCCTTTCTAACTATTAAAATTCTTAGCATAACTAATAAATAATCTTAAAATGATTACAATGAATCGTTTAATTAGTTCTCGTGTCTATTCTCACTATCATCACTGTAACACTTGTTATTACCCTCTAGCGTTTAAACAACCCACAGCTGTTATTTCCCTTGAAACCATAGCCTTCACTCTTCATTACTATTTCATTCGCTCTCTTCATTGTTTTTGCTTTTTTCGGAGTGGATCGCATTTCATAGAATTGCAAATTTGAGTACACATTGTCTCTCTCTCTCTCATTGTTTTTTTCCCCCCGGTAGCGTAATTGGACTCCACTTTCAAATGGTCCAAAAGCGACTCTTGAGCTTTCGACCTTAATTGCACTTTGGCAACGTTTTTCGTCCTTGTTTGTGTTTGACCAAAATTGTCTGCCACCCCAAACTGATTGATTGATTCATTGAATGATTGATGGATGGATTGGCTGTTGTCCAAGGGCATAATATTTGCATAGATTTAACTAATTGCTGGAAAAATGAGAGGAGAATTTACTGCTGCAAAATGTGCAGGAAAATTAAAATTTTCATATGCTCTTAAGTGCATTTTGGTCAAATATTGGTTTATTCTTCACTTCATGGCACAAACAATTTAAACAATCTTATGGTATTAGTTTCCGGATTTATCCATTTATCTTTGAGACGAGGAAGGGATCTATTTCCGGAATCGAAATTAGATCAAAGACCTAACGATAATCATAATTAAATTTCATTATCAAACGCTTTCAATTAGCAGAAAAAACAGCTCAAAAACATCTTCAACAATTGAGGAGAAAATGTCACGGAGAAATGCCCCCTTCTTTGGGTCCAAAGTGCAAACAATGGGTTGAAGAAAACTTGGTCAAAGTTCAGCGATAACTAAGGATACAACAGCTGTCTTTAATTAAAGCTGAAAACTCTTTGCCTTCGCCACTAAAAAGAGGTGAAGGGCAGCCACTTTTCGAAGATAAACGACACTTTTGACCGAATTTATTTTTGGCCAACTGAAAGTGGACCTCAACCTGAAGTGGCTTTAGTTTTTTGGGTGGCGAAGGCCTCATAACACACATTTCAATTTCCTGGCCATGAATAATGGCAAATGTCCAAAAGATGCTGGCTAAACCAGACGCCATTTATTAGCCCTGAGGATACACGCTCAAAAGTACACTGGAAAAAAACCTCTCAAATACTTCCTCCAAATTAGTCCATGAACGATTCATAATATTAAATGGAATTTTTACTTATTTTTTTACTTTCGGCTAAGATCTTTAATCATTAAAGACTTATTATATACTTATTTCTTGCTGTGTAGAAACTATTGACCAAGGGAAATGCTTTGCGGCCAAGTTTTGTGGCTGGCTAATTGAGTTAATTGTGGAAAAATTAGGCTCAATGTCCGGGGCCACATTGTCCTTGGGGCCACTTAAAATGTATTGTCTGCCTTCGATAATGAGACGACGGGCAGAGAGAGACAGAGAGATGATTGACCAAGTTCATCATTCAATTATGAGCGTCATCGTCGATTTTTCGGCCTTTCATGTTAAATGCATGAATATTATTTTGAGCGTGAGTGTACGCCTAATGATATTTTCCTGTAAACTGACAACTCTATATTATGAACATACATATATGTATGTAGGAGGGGTGACGGTGCGCTGCGGTGTGCGGTTTAGCTAAATGACAAACGAGACATTGACACGAAAATTCACTTTTGAACACAGGCCCAGAGATGGATTTCTATACACTTAATATAGCAGCACGTTAATATCCATCCCCTGCTGTCAGGTAGTCACCATCGCATTTGTCAGAAACACACACACAACATGAATGACACACGGATATGTATGTACTATACATACATATGTACATATATCCCCATTTATGAGTATATAGTATTTTTGGTAAATTTAAGCCACGAACAAAACTCCATTTAATTTGGAATAAATATTAAGCGAAGGCCTCTTTATTATCGACAAACAAATTGTTGAGTGTAATAATTGATATGAAAACTAAATAAATAAACGAAAATTTAATTACCTGATGGCTATTTGGCCTGGTCGGACGTCTGTTTTAATTGCTATCGACGACAAGTGCGGCCTAAAAATGACAAAAGCGGAAAATTTTCAACAGCATTATTATTTTTATCAATTTATAATGGGCCAACAATACAAGTGATTGAATGAATATGCATGAGTCGGTATTTCCCCACGCCCGGCTCACACCCTGTCCTGCTCGTATGGTGGGCCAAGAAAATTTACAATTCAATCAGAGGCCGCAACAGTGCAGTGTCAAAACCGCTGTAGCAGAGGTAAATGCTGTGGCAGGAACGGAGGCAGAGAAGCGGCTGGGGCAAGAATGGGAGCAAAAGCAGAGGCTGTGGCTGAAACGGAGGGGACTGCGGAAGGAACAGAGGCAGGAGCAGCGGCTGTGGCAGGAACAGTAGCATGAGACAGCAGCAACAGAAGCTGAAACACCGCATCCGCAATCACTAAAAATTAATTTCAATTTTATTGCATAAAAGTGAATCAACCGCAACAGCAACAGCGGCCACATTGAACGATGGTTGATGCTGGATGTGAAGGAGGAGTTGAATTTGGAGGTGGTTTGAGCCCGGCCAAAACAAGAACAAGGCTGATTTGTATGGGCTATCGGACACCTTGGAAATCTATTGGAATGAGTTCAGGATTATCAGGATTAGCGCGAAGTCTTCTTTCTTTAATGCTATAGATAGCATAGGTTATTCTTCAAACAAATAGCGCTGGAAGAGAAATGACTGCAGGAGGAGTGATGTATGTAATAATGATGAGATTGGGTTGAGTTTGGGTAGTTTTTAAGCCTTTTCCCTATCAAGAATGGAGTTTGAAAGAAGCTTAAAATTGAAAGAACTGATCTAAGGAGTGCTGAATTTCCATAAGTATCGTAGGATTATAGTTTTCGGCATCTAACTTTTGATGGAGTCAGCAGTGCATCCTTTAATCTACCTGCTTCCGTGCAAGAAAATATTTCTACCTTCGGACTTTTTTGGCAATCTCTACTTAAACACAACATACCATAGCATAGTACCGGGTATAAAAACAACGTTGAGGCCTGGGCCCAGAGGTCGAGTAAAATATGCAGATCAACTGGGGTCTGTCAAGGGGCGAACTGAGTAGGGAAACTGCTCAGAAGGGAGTGCGAACCTTCCCAGCGTGGGGGGTATATTTTCAGCCAAAAGCCAAACATTTATGAAAATGCAAAAGCGTTTTTAGGGTTTACCTCTCAGGTAAATCTGACGCTGCAGCGGCGCCAACTGCAGAACGATATTAATGCGAAGCAAAAACTGGCTAAAACTGGCAGGCGGGGGGGGGAGGGTCGTAGCACACCAGAAGAAGCACCGGAAAAAAAAACGAGAACATGAATTGCGGTTTAAGCATTGAATTATGAATATTTCCTTGCCTCGACCCCGACCTGGTTCTCTGTTGATTCCACCTTCTGTTGGTGGCCGCTGCCAGGGCAACATTTATCATCGTGGCAGTCGGAGATTCTGATTAAAAGCGAGAAATGTTTCGTAATAATGTTTCCCCCGAAACCCGACGCTCGACTCAACTCATCCTCATCTGCAACTACTGATTTCACAAATGCTAAAATCGCGGCACACAAAATGTACGCAACGCATCAGGTTGCAAGAAGAGATTGTGCGCCCTGCGACCCCCCTGATATTTTCTGGTTTTAGGTTATGGAATTTTGTGCATTCTACTCGGTTTTTTTTTTTTTCTTTTTTTTCCCCCCCTGTTGCCATATTTTGAATGATGTTGAATGATGATCATAATGAGGACGCAAATTCCCATTCAATTTGTAAAGCAATTCATTTGGTTCTTATGCTAAATGGCAATGGCATTATATAAATTAGACAAAAGCCGAAACTTTTCCACCGTAAGCACCAGACGCGATAGCCGAGGAACCCAGGCATTATAATTGGCACAACTTTTGCTCGGTTAGCATGAAAACTCATTTATTTCAACGCAATCAACGTACTATACCCAGAGAAAAGCAGACAGACGGACGAGAGGACAGAAGGACCAACGGAAAGACAGATATCCAGACGGATGGAACGGACCTGAAGAGTGGAAGTTATAGCAATTAGCGGACTCGAGTGAATAGAGCCAAAAGGAATTAGGCAGCAAACCAGACCCAGGCACAGCTGTAGCCTGGCAACGGCAGAGAACAGCACAGTGCCAGTTCCAGTGCCGCTGCCGCTGTGCCACAACCACGGGTGAAAAGTGGAGCAGCAAAAGGCAGCAACAGCGCTCCCGATGATACTCATAAGTAGGGACGAGTGTGTGGCATGAATGGAAGGTTAGCTTGTACAAGTACATACCGTCTCGACATCAGCCTTCATGCCACAACACAGTGCCGCTCTCTCAACTGGATCTGTAACAGCTACATTAGGTACATTTGTATGTGATTAACCATTTAAGTGGTTCGTTTAAAACAGCGGTCGGCACAGCCCTATCTCATGTGCATAGGAAATACAATTGTAGAACGGTGGTCGGCTTTGAATGTG